GTTCCATTCACAGTTGCCTAATTTTCTACATCCACACATTCTCCTGGGGCAACCACATCCAAACCCATAGTTTCAATGACCACTTGTACATCTGTAAAACTTTCAAATCACCAAGATTCTTCCCTCAGTGTCTTCTTCTCCCAGCAAATGACTTCACCTATTTTCATCAAGAAAACTGACACCTTTAGAAAGTAGCTGCCTTAACCAAGACCCCATCCAAACACTTATCAGGATCCATCTATTCTAACTTGTTTCCCTCTTATGTCTCCTAAGATCAATGCCTTCACCTTGTTTTAACTTTATACCCCCAGGATTACTCAATCAGTTTTTCTCTTTTACTGTATCTCTCTCTTTAATAGTTCCTTTCCATAGGCATTTAAATTTAAGGAATCCAGCTGAATGCTGCTCCTGTCCCTCAATATCTAGCAAAACTGGCTCAAATTCTGATGGCTTGTGAAAGTCTAGCTCTCTCCTTATGATTTCTACAAATTCTTAGATGCTTACAATCATAGGCCCCTCCCAGTCCTCGTGTGCGGGCTCCGTTCTGCAGCCCTGTCTTTGGTTTCCACAACAAAATCACTCACATTGAAGATTGTTGAATTTAATTATTGACTTTACTGAAGATGTCCGAGAGATCAGGGGAAGGGTCCATACACAGCACACACTTTCTGCCATCTTGCTCACTCAGTTCTTCACTCTCTCCATCTTCTCACTTCTCACCCTCTTCACCCTGGATTGTTCGAGGAACACCCAATTCACCCCAGTTCTAATGTCTTGGTGCCAGCCAGCCCATGTTTCTCTTTCTCCACTTTATCAATTGCTAAATTTCACCAACTATTGCCTCGCAATCTCTTAAATCTTTCACTTTTATTTCAAGGCCAGCACATTAGTTCCAGTTTCTGTCCCTCACCCTTGGATTACGGCAGTACCATAGTGAATGAACTAGACTCAGGCCTTTGACTCTGCCCTCTCCCGTAAATCCTGGAAGATGTGTCTTTCTAAAGCCATCCTTCATCATGTCAGTGCTAAGGTCAGAGTTCTTTAACAAATCTCAGTCCTTACGTAATAAAGTCCCAATTGCTTACCCTGGCATTTAAGACCTTCTGTAATCTGGTCCCAACCTAATTTTCCAGCTTTATCTTCCAGTCTTATGCCACCTGAACCAGTCAAACTAGTAGACCCACTTTCTTTTGCATCTACTTGCATGATCCTGCCTCCCCAAGTCTGGAATGTGTTACCCCCATGCTCCAGCTGTCTTACTCCACTCATTTTCAGGTCTGGTCTCAAATATTACCTAACCTTACAAGCCTTTCCTAGCTCTTTAAGTCCACAGAATCTTTGCCCCTTGGACACATTATCTCATTTCTCTCTAACCCATCTAGGGTAATAGTCATCTCTGTTTACCAGTGACTAAGGTAGTTTCCTGGGTCATGGGACTTTCAGTTCTAAAACTGAATGGTCCTGGGTAAACTAGGGGAATTGGCGACCTTTCCTGTAATATATGTGGTGAGGGTCCTGGGGCAAGAAAGGAAGGCAGTACTTTTTGTGGATGCCTACTGTGGAAATTCAGATGGCAGAGTTGTCCACAAAAAGCTCTAGGGAAGGGAAAGGAAACAAAGGTGAGTGAGAACACATGTTGAACCTAAGGATAAGCCTGGAGCTGAGACCTTCAGATGAACACATAGCTAAAGCGAGCCCTCTTATGCAGTTCTCTACATTTTCCTGTTATTTTCCCCCAAAGAATTAAGAAGAACAAAGGGGAATAAAAAAAAAAATAGATTCCAAGTAAGGGAATTTTAATAAGGAGCTAAGTGGGTGGAAAAAGTACAAATCTTAGAACCGAGAGGAAAACTTAGACAGGTAAACAACCTTTTTCTTTTATTGTTACCTTGGAAACAGTCAGAATCAGAGCTATTCACTACTAGGAGAATTAAATGAAACCCACAAGTTAAGGTCAAACTTTCTGGAGGTTTTCTGATGCCAAGTTGAAATCCTAGGTGAATTATAAAGGTTTGGTAAAATGGCAGCAGATGAACTGGTTGGAAAATTGTGTTAAAGATTTGTAATATCCTGAGTTACTCTGGGTCACCAAGGGTCCCACTAGGCTTTCTACTGATATTGGACCACGTCTTGCAGAGCTGCATGACTTCATCTTCCTTAATAACTATTTATAGCTGTAATTTATTTGGAGGACCAAAGAACCTCTGATAAAGTTAATTTGTATATCAAGACCCATAAAATGGAAGCCTCCCCAGTGGCCCAGCCCAAGTCACAAAGCTAAACCTAAGTCAGCCTGCACTTATGGAAAATGGGAAATGCCTCACTGTCAAGGAAACCTAACACCAACACAATCCTCCAACTCAGTTTTAGATAGTTTACCTTATCCTATCCTTAAAAAAACCTCCTAGCTAATTATGCCCTGTTTCTGTGTTGCCTCTTCTAATGTTCTGTAAAACTTACTCATGCCCCAAATTCCTCAGGAAGCATTCGCCACTACTGCTGAGGCACTATAACTCCCCCAATCCATGGACTGTTTTCCCTTGAATAAAAGACGTCAAACTCTTTACTAAATTGTTTGAGCTTTGTCATTTGACACGTCCTAAAATTAAAACAGCATCAACTGTTTGGTAGAAATGCATGGGGACAGAACCATATCACAAGAGAGAAATGAAGGACTTGAAGAGAGAACTCACTATAGAGAAAGGAGTCTGGCAGGATGAATGAGCCAATTTAGCAACAGGCCCTCAAGGTCAGAGAAAGGTCGTGGAACTGAAGCAGTGTGTTAGCTTGAAACTGAACCCTTCTGTTTAAAACAAGAAAACAACAAGTTCAAAATGGAGTCGCTTATGCTAAGTGTGAAGTCACCAAACCAAGACTTAATTAGTTTCGGTTCTCCCAGACATGGAATCTTAGACCAGTCAACCAGGAATCGCCTAATCACACTAATTAGGTAACCGCCTGATAGACCCCTACCTATCTCCCAAAGAAAATAACCATAACCAATCTGCTTTTTTGCTTAGTACGCTTCCTTGTTCCTGTTCCCTTCTGCCTGTAAGTCTTTCATTTCGTACAGCTCCTCAGAGCTCCTTTTTATCTGCCAGATTGGCTGCTGATCAATTCATGAATCATTTAATAAAGCCAATAAGATGTTTAAAATTTACTAAGTTGAATTTTGCTTTTTAAAACTTTCAATATACTTACCTTGGCAGTGTTCACTGTCCTCCTGGGAGAAGTAGTTCTGTTGTGTGTAAAGTAATGTGCTATCTCAACGAATTCTGTCACTCTCAGATATCTAAATAATCTGTGACATCACCCACCCTGCCCTAGCCTTTAGGCAGAATGTAACCCGCAGGGGAGGAATTGGTCTTCTAATTTGCAAGAGATTGTCACCCTGACTGAGAGGATCCATCAAGGCCAGGTGATCCACAGTCAGCCATGTCTGACGAGGGAAATGGACTTCCTGGAAAGGAGACTGGACCAGGGGAGCTCAAGGACTGGGGTTGGTGGCAATCTGGAATGACATATTAGTGATGTCAGATACCATTTGGAACCCCACATATATTTTGGAGGGATTTCACAAGGGGCTGGAGCTCTGGCATGAGCAAGTAGGCTCATTTATCTATAAAATTTAGATATTAATGTTAATAGCTCATTCTTAGCCTCAGGCTGGCGAAGCTTTAGGACTTTAAGATTACTCACGATACCATTTCTTTTTTTGAAACCTATTTGGGGGTATTGCTTTCTTTTTTTTTTTTTTAACAAATCTGAGTACTTAGACATATCTGGTACTTATGAGAGTTATATTCATTCATTTAACAACTCTTCACTGAATAACGTCCATGCACTTGGGAATATGAAGACGTTAAAACAGTCTCTGCTTTCAGGTGGTGACTAGGAAATACATGGTAAATAAGTATTAGTTTAGTAAAATTTGATATACAGATAAGTTATGGAAATTTGTCACCTTTACAAAGGGAAATTTATGGCCCGTTTTTAGGCCAAAAAGGGAAAGGTAGAGAGTTCTCCTGGTTTCTGTTTCTCAGTTGCCTTCAACTCAAAATAATCTTTATGCAGAAGTGGCATGTTTGGGAGTGGCATATTCTGATCTCCTTCGATATTGATGTGGATTACTTTTTTCAGCTTTTAGTTTATTACTTGTTGCAGTTACTTACGTTTCTTTCTCTGCTATTAGGTGATCAGTTCCTTAAGAAAAAGACCTGTCTTAGTCACCTGCTCAACCTCAGGAGGGAGCTCAGGCATTAAATATTAGAGGAAACCTATTGTACCTCTCTAATCAGTCCATAATTGCTATGGGTGTGCAAACCAAATACTCAACTTGCTAGAATTATTTTAATTCTATAGCTTTATGACTTCTTGTGTATGATATATTGTGGTCTTCGCTTCCAACTGCATTCTAGGATGCATTCAAGACAAGACAGGTGTTACTGTTTGAAGAAAAGGGTAAGTTAATTTGAGTGATGCACCCAACTAATTTTCTTAATGCTTGGTTTCTTTGTACTTAAAAGAAAAATTCAGTAGACTTCTGGTTCAAGGTCAACAGTCTTTTTATTTTTTTTAAAATAATTAAATTGCTTTTTATTCCATTTCATTCGCAACCAGGGCTTCTAATTTGCAATAACTAGTAGCTGGTTCCCATTTAATTTGTGGGCATGAAACCACTGTTAAAAATTTGAGACTGCTGCAATTCGACTTAAAAATTAAAAAGCAAAATAAATTAAATATCTAACTGTACAGATGACCAAGGTGTTGTTCCTGTACTACTCGCTGTTTCCAAATATTTTGAAATCAGAACTCTGTGTTTTGAAAGCTCTTTGCAAAATTAAACACAAGGATCCCCAGGAGCCCTAGGGCTGCACATGCTTTCAGCCGGGGCCCCATCTCCCCCTTCAAGGCATGGGACTGGAAGGCCGAGCCACGGGAAATAACTGAGGGCAGCCAGAGGCCGCAGGGGGCCGCCCCGCTCCAGGGCGGAGGCGGGGCCTGACAATCGTGGGGCTGAGAGGCGCCCTCGCTCTCCGCGGCGCCGGGGTCACGGCTCCCCACCCCTTTCCTCTCCTTCGCGCGGCCCGAATCCGGGTCCCAGCCGCGCATCGGGGCTGCCCCTTGCGCTGGTTCCGGGCGCCCGGCCTGGGCATGCAGCTTCAGCGGGGACTGCGGCTCTTGGGGCTCCGGGCCTACGCCGGCCCAGCTGCCGCGAACGGAGCCCCAGGCGTCCGCCGCGGCCCCCGCCCCCGCGCGCTGTTCGTCGGCTCCCGGCCCCGCCCCGGTCTCCGCCTCCGCCTCCGCCTCCGCCTCCCGCCCAGCTCCAGGCCGCTGCGCTGGGCAGCCGCCCCCGCTGCGGGTCCAGACGCGCCACCCGCTAGCGCCGGCAGCATGGAGCGCCCCGGAGCGGGTGAGCCGGGGCTGCAGAGCGGGCGGGTGGGCAGACAGGAGCCGGGGGCGTGCGCCCCGCTTAACGCTCGGCCGCTGGGAGGGGCCCCCGCCGGCGTTCCCAGCGCGTGGAGCGCGACCCCACGCCCGCCCCAAGCCTCCTCTTCTCCGGTCAGAACGGATCTCACTGTTGGACCGAAGAATCCAGTGCAACCAGGGTGTGATCAGTGCAGGCACTGTTGTTGCGACGGGAGGCGTGGGGCGTGAACCTGCCCCAAGTTTCAGTTTTAATTCCCGCTTTCTGAGCTTGTGACCCTTGGTCCAGACTTCATGTCGACACACGCGCTCCGACAGCGTGTGGTCAGCAAAACCCAGAAAAGCTCGATTTTTATTCTATGTCACAAACATTAAAGACCTGGCACTGTTTCGTTTAGGATTTTATTCTAGGTGTAGAAATGACTTTATTAATCTGGCGCCAAATCCGTAGTAGTACTCATAATATCCAGCTTAGGTCAGCATTTACTGTGAACCTAAACTTTGCGGAAAGCTCTTTAGGAGATGGACTTTCGGTGAAAGGGACGAAAAGCCAATTAGAGAACAGGTGCTCTTCTTCAATCTCTGTAGTGTAAACGCAAAAACATACAAACAAAAACAAATAAGAAAAAGCATTAAAATGTTCAATTGTATTACATAATAGCTGTTATAATAACTAGCAGAGATATGTTTACAGTTATCAGGGGGATGAAATGATAAGGCCTTGTGGGTGGGTTCGTAGGGTTTGTGTTTTTGAGATAGCATATCTGGGTCTTTTCCTGTCTCACATGAACAAACCTTATGTTTTTGGAGGTTACTGTTTCCTTATATTCCTTTTCAGGTATTATTAACTTATTTTGCCCATTTCTCTCTAGTAATTTGGAATGTACTTTTGTTTTCGTTTTATGATGAGGAAACTAAACCATGGGGGTCAGGTGATTTGTTGATTATCACACAGTTCTCAGCATTTATCCAGATGTAAGATGCTACTCTTTTTAGTCACTAAGCCAGGTCTAGCATGCATGGCATTGACCCTTTCCATTGGTTCTGGAGGACTGTACATACTGTTGGGTTGTCGGAAAAGTCATGATGCATTTTTGCAATGAAAAACATAGAAAAAATACGTCGTGAGTTTTCCGACAACCCAATATATATACCTAGTAGAGTGAACAGAAGAGTCTTACTTATTTTACTATCCAGGAAATTACTAAACAGGAAATTTGCATTTTGTGTGACAAAGAGCAAACTATTTATCCTTTTTTCCTCTATTGGGCTGTCTGTGATGAAGGCCTTTGCTGGAGTGCACTTATATTTGAATTTAGTGCATACTTCATGCATAGTTTTATGATACTTTTAAAATGTGTATGCATTAATTGTTTTCTTATAAAAGTAATATTCTATTTAAAACATTTAAATAGTGGAAAGTGGAAAAATACAAATATACTGAATACAGCTATGTCAGTATTTAGAAATACCCTGTTTTCCCCAAAATAAGACCTAGCCGGAAAATAAGCCCTCGCATGATTTTAGGTGCCAAAATATGGCACCTTGGCATACTGACTATTTTAAGCTGAAGGAGTTTGTGGAAAAGGCACCTTTCTCCCTGAAACAGGTCATAAAACCCTCATGTGAGGGGTTCGTGCCCTCCGTATCCTGGAGGAATCATGCTAGGGCTTCTTCTCCGGCTAAGTCTTATTTTCAGGAAAACATGGTAATTTATATCCTTTAGCCTTTTCCTCCATAATTGTAATTGTAGAGCATATGCAGTATCATCTTTGCCTTTTAAAAAGTCAGTATTATAAACTTTTTTCAGTTTTTCAGTCTGCATAGCCATTATTATTAGTTGCCATTAGGGTGAGTATGCTTTGTTTAACCATTTCCCTGTATTAGGCATTTAAGCTGTTCTGCTTTTTCTTTTTTTGTTTAAACAGAGCTGTAGTGAATCTATGTCAGCATATGTGATAGAGACCCAGATATATCAGTAAGAAGAACATTTTCTTGGCTCTTGATCTGTTTTGTTGCCAGACTGCCTCCTGAAAGGATGACCTCAATTTTCAGCACTATAAACTGTGTATGTTAAGAGCCAGTAGGGCATGTTGCTTCCAAGGACAGGTTTTAGAGGCATAGCGACTAGATTTAAATTCTAGCCTGAAGACCTAGCTAAAATCTTGTGCAAGTTACCTAATTGGCTAGTCTGTAAAATCAGTAAAATAACAATACCATCCTGATAGCATGGTTGTGTGGATGCAATGAGTTACTATCTGTAAAGTGCTTCCAGCTGTGCCTAGTATATAGTCTATGCTCAAATGTCAGCTGTTGTTAGTAGCAGTAGTAGTTAGCCAATTTGATCTTTATTAGTGCACTTAGCAGCATTATTTTTATTTGGATTTGTACAAAAGAATTTTATTTTAACTGTGGTTAGTTAATTTTAAGTACTCAAAACAGTCAACTTAGAGTTTGAATGCTTTATTTTAGGGTCAGTTATTTTAAGGCAGTTTTCCAAAAGCAAAATATTTATACCGGCTGTAAGAGAACGTGCAGTTATGATGGATGTGTTTGATTCATGTCTGCCAGACTGTGCCCAAACACTAAAGCTTAGGGAATTGGAGGAAGGCTTCTAGATTTGAACCCTGTTGAGAAACATTGCTCTATAGAATGACCGGCAGTTCTTTCAAGAGTTACTCGGAAGTGGTATTCTCTTTTTTTTTAGTTAATAATTTGTATCTTCAAAAATTGTTTCAATTATTCTGTAATTTAATGTAACATAGTTTGTATTTCACGTTCTAGACTCCTGTTGGTTTTGACATAATATTACACTCAAGAGTTTATATATGCTTTGTTTAACAAGATGGAGAATGATGTTGGACAAGTCATATTATGCTTCAATTTTTATTTTTGTGTCATATGGGATAGTAGTATCTTTCCCTGCTTCCTCCTATAAAAATGAGATCTGTGATGTGCTGAAGCTGCCATTAAACACCAAGAATTATTTTTTTCATGGACACTGAGATAACTGTATTGCACTATAGCTTGAGTGACTTATTAACCACTCCCAAGTGTGTACTTTGACTGTTCACTACAAATATATTGATCACCAACTGGGAGCTGAACACTGTGTTAGGTAGGCATTGAGGAATCAAAGGAGAGTAAAAGACAGCCTTAAGGAAAGCAGAGTAGGATGATCATACTGAAAGGGGTGTAAATGAGAATAGCTCCCCCTTTCACTTTCAAAAGAGCCATGGTTTGGGCGGTAAATTGTTTGATCCCTTCAGCTTAGAATCTAATAGGGAAGACAGACAACTGGACATCTCTAACATGATGGATTTATACTTTGACTGGAAGAAGCACTAGGCACCCGGAAGGAGACTGTGTTACCTAACTCAGCCCTGAGCTAGGGATCAGGAAAGGTCCTCGACAGTAAACGTCCCAATGTGATTTTTTAGTTTGTTCCATCAATGTCAATAAACCAAGAAACGTCTTTATATTGCTAGTGGTAACTTCCGTCCATGTAAAGTTTTAGAGTTTTTGTAAAATTGTTCCATTTGGCGGTGGTATATATTGGTTTGAGAAGCAACTAAATAAAAAAAATAATGATCCAAAAGTAAATCCGTCACTTCACTGATACTGTATGGATCACTAAATTCAACAGTTACACCTGAAATATTTGAATAATCCTCCAAGGTTGGTGTAATATCCTTTTCATTCCACTCTTCTTCAAAATCACTTTCACTATCCAATTCTATTACATTTCTTTTTTGCTGTTTTTGTGGGCTAATATCAGATTCATAACTGTCTTCCGATAAACTATCATTTTTCAGATCACTATAATATATTTCAAAATCACTCGGACAATCAGATAAAGCGTCTGCATATAATTCATTGAAAAATTCTTCACTGTCATGATCTGTCAGTATTTTTGCAATACTAGAATTGTGATAAAAACCTAAATATCAAGAAAAACATATATTTTTTTATAATAAAGTGAACATGACTGAACACGATGAAGAAAGCTTTTAGGATATCCTATATTACCCTGAGTTTTAAAACCTGAAATAGCTAATGCAAGTGCAAACACGAGTTAACTCATGAACGGTCAACAACGTTTGAGCATGAAAACGCGAATTAACTCATGACCGGTCAACAATGTGTTAAGCCGCCAGCTTGCCTTGTATCATTACCTGAGTGCCACTATTATCACCATTGTCACTGCATATGATTCTCCTTTAGATAAACTAAGCATTAAACTATTTCAAGAACTTTTCTCACTAAAAAAATGACTAAATTTAATTCATGTTATTTAATTATTCTTCTTGCCTTCAAAATGTGTTATTAGAGCACAGAGGTCAGCCTCCCTACCCCATTCCGCATAATGCCAAGAACCTAATATATTTCCAAGTGGCACAGGGACTTTGTAACTAGTGTGGAGATGTTAGTGTTACATGGGCCAATTTTATACTACTGAGTTCTTCTCCCCCATCCCCCCAGCTTTATTAAGGTGTAGTTGACAAAATGTATTCAAAGTATACAGTATAACAATTTGATGTGAATATACATTGTGGAATGATTACCACAATCAAGTGAATTAACCACATCCATCGCCTCACATAGCTTTTTTTTTTTTTTTGGTGAGACTGCTTAAGATATACTCTTAGTAAGTTTCAAGTATATAATACTTGACTATTAATAACTTGAGTATTAATAACTATAGTCACCATTCTGTACATTAGATCCTGAGAGTTTATTACTAATTTCTTAGACTGAGAATAAAATAGAGAAAAAAGTTGGGTTTATTTCATTTCATTCTGATTTTCATTCAGCCTTGTGTATATTTAATTGTACAAATACTGCTGCTAGCTAAGTATAAGCTACATGGTCAGTGATAATTCTTTATGTGTAACTGCATGTACCCAAAGGTAAAAGTTATGTATTTATCTATTAAAACTTTCGTATTAATCTATTAACATTTTTAAGTGTAAACTGCATTTGTATTTTTCAATGCAAGCATAGAAATAGGAAACATTTACTTGTTCTTACAGATTTCAAATTGTTGTTATTATTAGACTCAGAGTAAACTGTAAGATTTTTTTCTTTTTTTTTTTTAAAGATTTTATTGGGGAATCGGGGGAAGGGGAACAAAGAAGTTGCTGTTGTTTTTGTTCTTCAGTCTAGTTGTGGAGGATGTTGCTTCACTGGCACAAGCTGGCACCATCATTGTACTCTTCCCGGGTGAGGCAGATCAGTCGCCGGCTTCTGGACGGCCGCTCACGGCGGCTGCTGTCCACTCACGCTGGCTGCCGGCTACACACGGTAGCCCACTGCAGCAGGGGACTGCAGCCCATGCCGTCGCTGGCGACCCATGTTAGCCCAGCTCCAGGTTGAGCTGTTGTTCAGCATCTTAGCTGTAGAGGGCCCTCATATGTGGGATCTGAACTGGGGCCCTCTGGCGTCCCAAGCCAGTTCTTAACCATCGCGCCACTCGGCCGGCCCAGATTTTTTGCTTTTTTTAATCATTGAATTTTCAGAAATGCATATTTAGAGCCATGTATTTTTTACTGAATTTCCAATGTTAATGTAATAATGGAGAGGAAAAAAAATTGAAAAGTCTTTATTGAAGAAAAAAGAAATATGGCCAGAACTTATACAAATGAGAACACACAGTGATATTGTTAATATAAACATGAAAAAGACTGACAAAACCTTGTTGGTTTGTTTTCAAAAGGTATGTGAAAAAATAAAGATTTAGAATTAAAAACATATAGCTATAAAAGATCATGAAGATTATTGATTAACTCAGTCTTCATCTGACTGGAGTACTGTGCTTCAGAAAATTATTAAAGCTGTTTAGCATAAAGTGGATGATGGCATAAATAATACTAATATAAATAGCTTTACAATATATTTAAATACAAGTTATACCATTTCTTAACAGATGTTTATATTGAATTCAGTTAATTGAATTGTTTTAGTTTAGGATATAAGTTAAATAATACATTTTTCTTTTTGTGATATGTTAAAGGAGAAATAAATTCCAATGAGTGTGAAAATGTGTCAAGAAAAAAGGAAATATCAGAAGAATTTGAAGCCAGTACTGTGGATTCCCTGGTAGATGTGCCATTTGCTACTATAGATATTAAAGATGATTGTGGAAGTAAGTATTTCATTAAATAAATATGTATTTAGAAGCAATGAACAGTAAATTTAGTGATAGAGATTTTTCTTCTTAATAAATTACTTTATCTTAAATCTTTGTCATGTTTTGAGTTTGGGGTGTTAGTTAATAGTTATCCGTTGGTATTTTATTGTCAAAATTTTCGCAGATAATACTAAGACATGTGTCACAAAATTTTGGGCCAGATCATTCTGTAGTTTATAGCAACTTCAGAAAATAATGGACCAGAACATACCATGTTTTATAACCTCCTCCTTCATTTATTCTGGAGTCATTTCTAATTTCAGGAGTACCTATCCATCTCACAAATGTTTACTGGCCCTTGGATATGTGCCAGGCACTTGCTAGGCATTGGGAGGGTCTCCAGTGAACAAGACAGACATTATCCCTTCTCCCATGGAGTTTAACAGGCTAGTGTTGAAAACAGTTTAACTTTTAATCATTTATGTACTTATTAAATTGACTAGTCCTTGAGAGCGCCATCCATAAACTTTAGAGATCCCATGCTTACTTGATTGAAATACTGCTGGAACTACATACATATCTAAACCTGAATTCCCTGTCATTGTAAAAACAATACTGTACATGGTGTTCGGTGTTAGCCCCACTGAAAATGTGACAGATTTGCCTGTTATCTAGATTACCTGTGAGTTGGAGAATAAGGAAAAGCACCAATGTATTCCAAAAACATTTATTGACTGTGTACTCTGTGCTACTGTCTGTTTGTGGCCTTATGTAGAACCTTGCTATGCTTTGATACAGTTTTATCTTGACAGGGGGGTCTATAACTGGACACTCCATAAGAAAGTATCTAGTTCAGTCTCTTCATTTTTGAGAAGAGGAAATGAGACTCAGAGAAGTTAAGTGAATTACAAAAGTCACACAATTAAATAAAACTAGTTATACAACCTGTGATTTCTGATTCATTAGTCATTTCTTCGATAAACATTTATTGGATGCCTGACAAGTGTCAGGTATTGGTGCCAGATATTGGGAATATTGAAACACATGACAATATTGAAATGCATGACCATGAAGAAACTCATAGCTTCACTGGGGAGCCAATACATCAGCAGCTATAATCCCATCAGATGAATGCCGAACAGGATGCTGCGGGAGTACATGGGGCAAGGATGTGTGTGGGGAGGCGTCTAACCAGGATGTGGGAGTAGAGGATGTCCTGGAAGGCTTCCTACAAGTTTGACAGCAGTAAGAGGCCTGGTAGATAAGCATGAACTGTCCAGGGGTCTTCCCTCTGCGCCAACTGTCCTTGAACTTAACCGATCAGCAGAATTTCCTGTGGACTTACATAAAAGTACAGATTCCTCTTTTCCACCTCTGTGGCAGGCCAGGGAACCGTTTTTGTTTTATTTTTTTAAACATCCCATGTGATTCTGACCCTCAGCCAGTCTCAGAAACCCCACTGCTCTCTTATCACATTGTATTTCGATACAGTAAACCTGGTTTATATTTTGGGTAAATGTAAGGAGAGAAGGATGCTTAAAATGTATGAAATCTCTGGTATCTTACTAGTCAATTTTTCATATTCCATAATCCCAGGGGAAAAGGACGTATGAAGAAGTGTTGGCTAAGTGAAGGCATGGGTTTCCCACTTTTTTCCTTTCCAGCTGGCCTGTAGAGAACAGCTTTTGTGGGTTTCACAGCTCTTAGCAAACCTTTATTTGTAGAATTAGTTAACGTGTTAAGTAGAAGATACCCTTTGGAAATGAGAGGCAAGAGTATCAATGATTTAATCATGTTTTCCTCTTTATACTCTACCTTTTGAGCAGATAAAATGAATATATCCAAAAAATGCAATCACTTCTTCCTGACTTCATTACTCTCTGTAATTTGGATATAAAAATAAAGAAGAAATCTCCTGAATAATCATGGCTGTGTGCCCATGGTGGGCATCTCCCATCCACTCTCCTTCCCTCTGATCCCCATTGCAGTTTCTGAATCACTCCCATTGGAGTGCTCATAAGTTAGACTGGAACAAGACGTGAAACATGTTTATCGTTCCAGCTATAGGTACTTTTAACTGACACATATCTAATACATATGAAACAAACTGCTTCTGCTAGGTATTGAGAGTGATACCACCAGAATCCCAGAAAGCTAATAGTGTTTCTGTGGCTACTGTATTTTTACATCTGCACTGGTGAGGAGAAACAATGGCCCCTGGACCAGAAACAAGGAAAGAGAGGTCAGTGGTTCTGTGGTCCATTCTTACTTTGAAAGGCACAGCTGCTGCTTCAGAGGGTGGGCATTGGGAAGACTGACCAATTCTTCATATGATTAGAGATCTTTTCTCTGCAGTATATGGTACATTTCTTACCAAAGAAATGATGTCATATGTATAAGTTAGGGACTCAGGTCCATTTTTAGCTATATAGTAGTATACCACTTTTTGATAGTTCAGACTTTGTCAGTTAAAAGTCTTTGTGGGTTAGCCTAGACTCCAAACCACCATGTATAATATTACTTTTATGGGAAGATATATTTCAAATTCCAAGCTCCAACTTATATACAGTCAGTGTGGAATAAGAAACAGAAAACTTGTGTTTTAAGTTTTGGCTACTTCATTTTCTTCTTGTGTGACCTTGGACACAAAGTGTCCTGAGTGAGCTGGGTTTCTTCAACTGAAATGTGGATAATTCCTCATGGTATTACTGTACAGATCAAAAGACATAAGGTGTATAAGAAGGAAATAAAAAATGTAAAATAATGTACAAATGCTACTTGTTAAACCTTTGAAACATATCCCTTAATTATTTGGGGACAACTTGTCCTCTCATTTTTATAATAGCATTTACTAAAACACTAAGGAAGAAATAGTAAAATTCTTTGCAAACCAGAAATTACTAGTTTTTTGTAAAGTGAGATTTTTATAGAAATGTACAAAAACTGGAATTTTCGTTGTCAATCCTTAAACCCTAAGGTAGATATAGTAATAGTGTTTGTGTTTAAAACACAGGACAATTAGTTTGTGACTCCAGTGGATTTGGGGCTTTCTCTTACATTTAGTAACATGGAAATTGAATCAGTTGAATGGCTCTGTGGTAGACAACAACCTTAAAATTCTCAAGTAGCTGGTTGCCTTTGGTCCTTTCAGTTTCCTTTGGTGGGTGGAAATTGTGAGTTAGCTGCCAAGAAACCCTTGCTGATAGAAACCCTGGCAGAGCAATGGGGAAAATAGTTTTAACAAGAAGAACACCGTGGGAAGGGGGATCCTTGCCAGTAAAAAAACTCCCCGAACGTTTGTTTCTGAGTGTCTCAGTTGTCAACTGGGTTACCTTCAGTGTGGGTAGAGTATCATGATTAGGTAGGTGTTGTGTTGTCACGTTGGCTGAAATGGGTCTTTACAGTCTTTTGTTTTTGAGAAGAGACTACGTGTTAGAATATAACATGTTAGAATATTATGTGAGAATTAAACAAAATATATTAGCTATGTATATTAAAATACAAATATATATTAGATATAAAATATCCAAATGCATATACAAAAGGAAATCTTTTAGAAATGTTGGGGAAGCCAAATGTTGGAGTACAACCTGAGCCACACCTTCTAGCTTTATAGGTCAGACACGATCTGGGAGAAAATCCGGTATTAGTGAGCTGTTGATGGGCTCTGGATGGGTCTGTTCTCTTTACAAGAGGAGGTGTCAGTGGTCAATTGGTTAGAAACCCAGTGAACCATGTGGAAAATGGGGTTGCTGTGAGTCCTGCCTCTAAAAGTTGAATGAGAGTTTGCAGTGGAGAGTTATTCTACTGCTGATAGGAATATCTTAGTGTGCATCTTGTAGAGTGTAAATTTGTGGAGAGCTTTAGTTTAATTGACTCTACTCTCTTAAGAGAATCACAGTCTTTAGCTACCAAGCCACATTTAAATCAAGATTCAAGTTTTTTTTAAGTCACATACCTTTCTTTCCTAAGTGGAATTCAGTTTCCCTCATATTGAAATTATTATACTTATTTTACCTTACATAGAATTCTAACCTTGTAATTATTGGAGATTTTAGCGACATGTAAAATTATAATTTTGTTATTTGTTAGCTAATACTATTAGGTTGTATTTTTTTTTTAAATACAGTAAAACCTTGGATTGCGAGTAACTTGTTTTGTGAGTGTTGCGCGAGATGAGCAAACATTTCTAATACATTTTAACTTGGTAAACGAGAGATGTCTTGCAATATTAGTAATTTGTTTCCAGAGTGAATTATGCTTGCAAATGAAGGTATTAATGTACTTGGTTAAGTATTTTAAAATATCAATTGAAACTTAACCTTTACCTGAAAAAAATTTTTTATAGAAAAATACTGTATCAAAAATATATAGAATCTCAATACCTTGTGTAGTAAGTGATTATCTTGTCAGTTTTTAAAAAGGATAAGTTATGTTTTATGTCTTTTCTGTAATTGATTGGGAAAGCATATTCCAAATTTTATTATGAAAGGGCATAAGGCAAATTTTTGTACCAAATTATACCAAGGGTTGATATCTTTTTTAAAAGGAAAACAAATAAAAATTAGGAAAGCCCAATAGACACATTAATTCATCCAACACATAATTATTGAGTGCCTGCTATGTACCAGGTACTATTATTTCTGTGGGGAAAAGGTTTGTAGAAGATAAAGTTCAGTTAGTAAACAAAAATATGGAAAGTTATTTAACTTCATAAGTATCAAAGGATGCACATTAAAATATGATTGTGACTTTCCAGATTGACAATATTTTTAAAAATAATACTCAATGGTTGTCATGTCATATCTACATTGCTTCAGACAATGTGTTTTCAGAGTCGTTTTAGAATGGAGTTTGTTGGGATCTCCAGCAATGTTCCAACATAGAATAGAACCACTCATGGGATTCCTAGTATGAGGACATCATCTTACTTGTGGAAATAAGTTTAATTCATAAGTATGTGTGTCACAGTGTCTTTTAAATAACAAAAATATTGGGGAAAACCACAAATGTCC